ACTACTAGTACTACTACTACAACGACGACGACTACCACTACTACTACTACTACTACTACTACTACTACTGCTCCTACTGTTTACGAGACTGCTACTGCCACTGCTGCTGCTGCTGCTGCTGCTGCTGCCATTGCTCCCGCTGCCGCTGCTGCTGCTACTGCTAGTGCTACTGCTGCTGCACCTTCCTCTAACGCTGCTGCTTCTGCTGCCACCACGCTTGTGCTGCTTTCTCTGCTGACCGTTTGTCGTGCTTCTCTCGGGCTGCCCAGGTGATTAATACATTGGTTTCAGCTATTGATGATGCTTGTTGGTGTCTCTTCAGAATACAATCCCTGCAAATGTATCTCACTGTGTTGATTTTCGTGTTCCAGATTTGTTCTTGTGGCTGCTCCACTTGCTGTTCCGGCATCCGTGAAGATTTTTGTCCAGTTTGTTTGTCTAGGACCTTAGTCCTGTCGTCTCCTGATTCCTTTGCTGCCCGAGCTCAGGCAGCCTCGTTGCCGCAGATCGTCGCCCGCTTGCAGTCACTCCAGGCCAGGACAGAGAAATGGGAATCTCCTGCTCCCTGCAGACCTATTGCCAGAAATTTTGTGTGTGCACGCTTGTGACGCTAATGTAGATACCTGCTTGAAACTAAGTCCTTGGAGATATCTGGGTGAAATGAGTTAGCAAGCAACCAGCAAGAGTCTTTGTATGGACCATGGACATAGAGACAGAGATGCAGATGCAAACCTATATATAGATATAGACATAGCCAGAAATACATCGATAGAGCTTGTTATCAACATACATGCATGCACTCACAGACACTCACACTTACTCCCTTGCGGCGTGTTTTGATGTTCAGGCGTGCTCAGAGGCACATGTCCGTACACATGAGATGAGTTTGCATTAGATTTTTGCAGTAGTCAACTCCAATCACCGTGTGACCAGTGCAGCTGCACTGCATGTAAGCACGTCCGCGCCTGCTTCCAACTTCCTGTCTTCTTCGCCAGATTCTGTGTTGAAGCGACGTTTACGGTGCACGTGCACTTGGCCGTGTATGTCTGTCTCTGTGAAGCCCAACGATCTGCGTTTCTGCGCCTACATGGCTACATACATGCTGACATACTGGATTCAATCCTGGCATATAGTGCCTGATCAGGTGCTGAATCCTAAACCCTAAGCCCTGAACCGGAAGCGGAATCCTCAGTTCCGATCTCCCAAGACTCATGCATTACCCGAAGAAGCTGATTGAGGCTGTCGGGTTTAGGGCGTAGGGTTTAGGGTGGAGGCTTTCGGGTTAAGGGCTCGGGCTTTATGAGATCGGTCATGCGTACGGTCACGAAGCGAGAAACTTGGTGACTAAACAGAATCCAGCTAAGAGTAATGTAGGTCGAGTTAGGTGGGTCTAAGAGTTCAGGGCATACGGTTCGGTTCAGGGTTTTTCGGATCTTGCTTTCGAAAAGGCCCAAGGGCACTGCAGCCTCGTTCTCTTAACCTCAGACCCCTAAACCGTAATCCCTAAACCCTATTTCCGAATCCTTAAACCCCCTATCCCTAATCCTTAAACCCCAATCCCTAAACCC